TTTATTTCGCCTTTTTCCTTCTCATTGGTGAGGGATCGCTCACTCTACTCTCCAACTCTGAGATTTTGTCTAATTAGTCAAAGCTGAGCTTGAATGACTTCTCAGCTACCTGGAGGAGTGACTTGACTATAGCTTCAGCAGTAATAGAAATATCTCAAATAATGAATGGTGTGGCTTCCAGAAAAACCGGGTTCAAAGAGGCAAAATTGGTGGAGAGAATGGCTTGGAGGACTTGTCAGTTTGACTCCTAGAATGAAAATCTCTGACATAAAATTTCCCTGAGTTGAAGTGAAATATGATCCCAGTTAGTAGCTTTCCTGGTCTGATTGCATGGTCACCATACCAGATTTCCCTTGTTTCCTGATGTTGGGAAGGAGATGGACAGGGTGCTTCAGATAAGAAACACATGCTGTGTGGTCATTGGAAAGTAGTATATCTCTCTTGAAAACAATAAATTAGCAGTTGAGGCAGTATTTAATATACTGGTTATGAGAGAATTTAGTTGGCATGAGCCATCACTGAGAACCCGGATATCCTGAGAAAGTTCAGTTTCTGGACCTCAAGCCTGACGACCAAACTCTAGACTTAATGATTTATTGATCCACTGCCCTATGAGAGATCTAACCTGACTATCTCGCACAAAACATCCCCTTCACCTAACAGTGGTATTAAAATATTGACAAGACAACTAGGTGATTGGGCCAATTTAATCAATTGGCCATTTTTGATAATTCAAGCTAATCAATTTAGTCATTTTAATGGGGGAAATGTCAAATCAGTTAGCTGATATTTTAAAAGTAAACAAAAAATATAGATAATTTTATTTTATTTTATTTTATTTTTTGAGACAGAGTCTCACTCTGTTGCTGGGGCTAGAGCGCCATGGCATCAGCCTAGCTCACAGCAAACTCAAACTCTTGGGCTCCAGTGATCCTCCTCCCTCAGCCTCACAAGTAGCTGGGATTACTACAGGTGTGTGCCATCATGCCTGGCTAATTTTTTCTAGTTTTAGTAGAGACAGTGTCTTGCTCTTGCTCAGGCTGGTCTTGAACTCCTGACCTCAAGCGATCCTTTCCCTGGGCCTCCCAGAATGCTAGGATTTCAGGTGTGAGCTACCGTGCCCAGCCAATATTTTTCATTAAAAAAATGTCTACTAGTTGAGTTAGTTATACAGCATTTGAGATGCTATTTGATAGAACTAGGGTGCCATCTGTGAGATCCTAGTCCGAACATGGGGTTCTCAGGCCTGAAGGTGTTTTGGGAGCAAAGGGAAATTAGAACTCTTCCTTCTCCTTAGGTTCTTGGGACCAGATTCAGCTGGAAGCAGCTAGTTTCAGGATTATACTGAGGTAGACATCCATTCACCTCACTACATGAATCCCACCTTAACTGATTTAATAGTCCTCACATTCGCTCTTTATGTGATGACTAGACAGACAGTTATTTCAATGCATTCATTCATGTTGATCATTTTACTGAATTTTTAGGCTGATTTTTATAAAATGGTCAATCTGATTGTCAGTTCTGAATAAAAGACCTTATCTTTTCTCCATTTGCTTGCATTTTGACATTCCTGTTCTCATTACATTGGAAACTAAAGAGGGGCACAAAAATAATCTTCAAAGACTTATTAATAATGGGAAATATTCTTAACTACCCTTCTTTTAGGGACTCCCAGGTCTGGAAAAGTTTAGTGACAATTAAAGTAAGGCTATCCTATAGGTAAGCGAATTGAAGAAAGACTGATGTGGAGTATGTATGTGGGTGTATGGGTGTGAATGGGTTGTGTGTGTGTGTGTGTGTGTGTGTGTGTGTGTGTGTGTTGAAGTTGGGAGAAGTGGTAATGATATTGGTCTGGATAGGGACTCAGAAAGGTGGCTGGAATGGGGGAAAATTAAAATGATTTTCTGAAAAATCAATCTAAGTTCTGAAAAACTTAGACTAAAAATGAAGACCCATATATGTCCAATCATTCCATAATCTGCACCTCTAATCCTCACCCCTATAACCAGGGAAGGTATGTCCAGACTTTTGGATTTATGTATTTCTTTTTTCCTTTGAAGTCTCATTTGTGTGTGGGGGTAGGAGGGGTGGGTGGCAAATAAATTTTTTTTAATGAACCCTGTATCCTTCTAACAGAGGAGAAATTCCTCTCAGGAACATTTTTTTCTTTTTTTATCCTGGTCCTTTAAAGTTTACTGTTATCTCACAATAAACAATAGGTATTCATTAGACAAAATTAATTTAATGTGATTTATCATTGTTTAATTCTGCTTGCCCAGCTGCACTTGTCCTGAAGAGCTGTATAATATATTGAAATGACCCGAAGCTTTTAAAGTCAATCTTGCAGCAGAAAAATACCCTTTGCCCCCAGGAGAATAAACTTTTTGTGCTGTATTTCTTCCCATGACTGACATTTATTTGACTCTCAAGTGTATTTACATTGTTGGTTTAACTGGAAGTTCTTTGCTGAATCAATAATATGCTGTATTTCTTGCTTCAAGTGGTCAATATTATTTCTATTTCTCTTTTTATTTTTTTTCTTTAATTCCCTGCAGTTATAAAAATTTTCTTTGACTTGTGAAAATTTTTACTCCTAAAATTATGAAGAAACCGAATAAATGTCCTTTTAATCTTCTGGGAAATGTGTGCCTCTTTAAACTTTATTTACGTCACAAGTTACTGTAATGAAGGACGAAAGCTCTAGACAAGGTCTTTTGCGCCTTGGGAGTGTTCAAGGCTAGGTCTCCTGGAGGCAAGCCTACAGTTTGTTCTCAAAAGTTTATTGCTCACCTCCTTGCTGTTGCTTTGCATGGGGCATGACAGGAGGCTAGAAATAGAGCAGGGTGGGAATCTGACCCATCGTGACCATGCAGGAGGCTCTGGCCTTGAAAATTCCCTTGTACGCGGCAAAAACAAACATTTGAAACGGAGGGAGAAACCAGGCTTAAACAAAGAGTGAAACCAGTTCCCATTTCAACTTTCCTGCCGATAAACATATGTGCTCACTCATTTGTTTCCCAAACATCAGTTTTCCATCATTTGGACAAAGCCTCAACCTGAATCTGTCCAGAACACAGAAAACAAATATTTTGAGATTTAATAAAATGGTACATGTGTATATTATGAGGATTTTGTCAATGTTCAACTGGTCTACCAAAAAATATGCTAAGATGGTGTTGTGCAAACCTATTAATCCTACTATATTTTTCAGGCAATGGTGACCTCTTTTTACTGGTCCCATCTGCCTGTGTGCTACAGGATTGACTTCAATATTAATCAAGAATCAGACAAATGTCAAAAGCCATCTGCCTTGTCTCATGTCCTTTGTAATTTTGTCGTTTGTTACCCATGCTCGCTTCTCCTTACTTGTTCTTCTGCTGAACTCCCTAGTTAGGTGCCCAGCTACTTCCTCAGCACCTGTCCTCCTCCCTTACCTGCCGCCTGCAGCATGGACAGGTGTGCTCTTACTGCTTATCTAAAAAATATGACCCATAGAAATAATTGGAATCTTTTTGCCAATTTAAGTGTCTTGGGTTCTCTGTTTTTCTGTTCTAACCATAGAAATCTATCTGGTCATACATTTCTCCTTCCTGTAGTCTCCATTTGTAAAATAAAATTAAGAAAAATATTTTCCTCACTTAACAATCCTTCAAATTCTTTTCCCCTTCTTTGGTGCTTTTGTATTATAATTGCTTATGAATGGTCAGCAGAGATTTCCTGTAAATGCCACAGGTTTCCTTTTTGCCACGACAAAGGGTAATATTAAAGGACCAGCTAGTTCTTCCTCTTGTAGTACAGTGGTTAAGAGCATGAGCTCTGACATTCGTTTGCTTTGGTTTAAATTCAAATATCCTCATTAAAAACCTGTGACCTTAGAAAAATTATTTAAACTCTTTGAGTCTTAGTTTACTGATTTGTAAACTGGGGAAAATATTAATAGCATATAATAGCAGTCACCATGGGCTAGACACAATATTAAACACTTTAAATATATTGGCTCATTTAATTTTTATTAACTTCATAATGTAGGTAATTAACATCATCCACATTTTGCAGATGAGAAAACTGAGACATAAAGAAGGAAACTAACTTGGCCAAAGTCAGAATTAGTATGTGGTAGAGTTAGGCTTGTTAAGCCAGGTAGTTGGATTTCAGAGGCCATGTACTTACCAGTATGCTATATTGCCTCTCTGTTAAACTATTGAGTATAAAGAACTCAACACAGTGTTTGGCACATAGCATTTATCCTCAGCTAGTATTAACATTGCCATCACCTGTTCTTGCCTTTCTTTGTTTTGTCACTCTTGCTTTTAGTGGACAAGTTGTGCAAAGTTGAATGCCCCTACCACCACAAGAAGAGAAAACAACAGCTACAACAGTGATCTAGGCTGAAGTAGCTTCCTAATCCTTCACTTTGTGTTCTTTGTATTTAAACTACAAATATGACATATACCTGTGAAAGGAGGCATTAAATGTTAATACCTCTTTTCCATCACATAAAAATTATATCCCTGCTATCTCCCACCCTCCAGAAACAAGCCAACAAAAACTGCTTAAGGCAAAGGAGACATTTTAGAAGTTGTAGACTTCAAATAAAGTTGCTACCATTCTTGGATAAACAGGGGCAAAAGTTTCAAAAAGTAATGAAGGTCATAAAAGATGTTGGTAAACAAAGACTTTATTTCTAGAATAAATTTCCTGCTCTGCACTCCTTAACTTGTTTTAAAATGCCAATATCAGGGAAAAAGACAGACATTTCTGCACATAATTATTATATTCTTCTTTTAAAGTAAGCCACTGACTTTAAAATTCTCTAACACATTTGTGGAAACTTCATTTTTTTTTGTTTGAGATTTATTTGAATGAGCTGTTATGATTGGAGACAGTGAGAATTTCAGATTAATGTTTTGCAGCCAAAAAGAAAAAAAAATCCTCTGGAAAGCTGGCAAGTGTTCATAAGTCAGCCCTGGAATTATGTAGGTTGAAGGCTCCCAGTGGACAGACCGAACATATAAGAAGGAAACCAGAGATCTGGTGCTATTACGTCCCAGAATCTAAGGGAACGAATAAGCACAGAATTTAAAGCATTCTTCAGCCTGAATTTTTAAGGTAAGTCTGAACAAATTATATGTACTTTACTTGGAAAATAGAGCATATATTAATGGAATATCCAAAAAAATAATGGAAATATTTTTTATGGATGAATTTTCTTTTTTTTTCCCCTGTGTTTTAAAACTGTATTTTGCAAAACTCCTAAATTATTTAACTGCTGTTTCTCTTACAGGGGTACATTTAGGAACTAGGCAAGCTGATTCATGATAACTGCTTTAAACTCCAACAACCAGTAAGTCTTCAAGTGGGATTTATTTTTGATTCTTTTATGTTAATTTGTTAGGTCATACAAAAGAATGAACTTTAGCAAAAATAATAGTTTTGCTGTTTTTAGGAAGCTCCTTGGTGATTAAATTTTAATTGGGTAGTTTATTTTGTATGTATTTTGAAACTATCAAAAGTAATAGTCGTTCCCTTAGTGTGTTTATCTTTAGCTAATTTTCTTTTGTTTTAAAATAATGTTTCTAGTAAAAAAAAAATCACAAAAACCTGAACACAGATTATAGTATTTTAGAACAATGGCTATTTCTGTTAAAGTGAAAGATAGAAAAGGAAAAATGATAAGACTGTATCTTGGTTAATCACTGATGCTCAATTCTTATTTCATTGAGCAATCAAAACTATTTCTACTTGACCCTAAAACAGGTTTGGCTATTCTTTTCTTTTTCTAATTAAATTGAAAATGGTTTCTTTTTATTTTAAATAGGCTAAACTTAAATATCTATCCCTAAAACTAATATTTTCTATTAAAATCAGAACAGAGGACTTTTAGAAATATGCACCTATTCCATAACATTTTCTTCATTACATTATTATCATGAAAACAATGAAACAATAGAACTAAAGAAATTATTTTTAATTAGTAAAAACCAACCATGATATCTCATCCTAATATGTTCTATTTGTATATTCTCTTTCATTCTTTTGTATGTGTACTTATTTTTTTTCATAGCGTATGTTACTTATATTTTCCATAGCTGTAATCATTTGTATATAGTTAGATACTTGAATGGAGCATCTCTCTATGCAATAGCAGGCTGCAATGTGGTTTCTAGAAAGCATACATATGAGATATATGCTCATTTTTGAAATGCTAACTTTTCTTATTTCTAGGTTTCTTCTTATTTGTTTCATATATTCCCTATCCTGACTAACCTGCTGAAATATTAATTTTCTTCAAGTCTTTCATAAACATGATAGAAAAGATGGGCAAAAGATCATTTTATTCAGAACTTTCAGTTCCTGAGGCTGAAATGTCTTACTTCTTGTTACTATTGAGCACATTGTTTTTTCTTCTTCAAGAAGGTAAAAGCCATTCATGTTTCACAAGGCATGATTCTATTTCATAATGTTTTCTATAATCACTCAGTATTTTCTTTTTTGCTTTTGACAAACTTTCAAAATGCTAATCACTCCAGGATGTCCTCAGCTCTGAATGTGTTTTAAGAGTTCTGTTTCTTTTCCCCCACAGAAGGCATAAGAATTAGGAGTTGCTGACATTTCAACATGAAGGGCAACTTCACCCTTGCCACCATCAGCGAAAACATCACCAGCAGTCTTTACTTTGGACTTGTGAACATCTCTGGCAACAATGAGTCTACCTTGAACTGCTCACATAAACCATCAGATAAGCATTTAGATGCAATTCCTATTCTCTATTACATTATTTTCATAATTGGATTTCTGGTCAATATTGTTGTGGTTACACTGTTTTGTTGTCAAAAAGGTCCTAAAAAGGTTTCCAGCATTTACATCTTCAACTTGGCTGTGGCTGACTTACTCCTTTTGGCTACTCTTCCTCTCTGGGCAACCTATTATTCTTACAGATATGACTGGCTCTTTGGACCTGTGATGTGCAAAGTGTTTGGTTCTTTCCTGACCCTGAACATGTTTGCAAGCATTTTTTTTATCACCTGCATGAGTGTTGATAGGTACCAATCGGTCATTTACCCCTTTCTGTCTCAAAGAAGAAACCCTTGGCAAGCATCTTATATAGTTCCCCTTGTTTGGTGTATGGCCTGTCTGTCCTCATTGCCAACATTTTATTTTCGAGATGTCAGAACCATTGAATACTTAGGAGTGAATGCTTGCATAATGGCTTTCCCACCTGAGAAGTATGCCCAATGGTCAGCTGGGATTGCTTTAATGAAAAATATCCTTGGTTTTATTATCCCTTTAATATTCATAGCAACATGCTATTTTGGAATCAGAAAACACTTACTGAAGACCAATAGTTATGGGAAGAACAGAATAACCCGTGACCAAGTCCTGAAGATGGCAGCTGCTGTTGTTCTGGCGTTCATCATTTGCTGGCTTCCCTTCCATGTTCTGACCTTCCTGGATGCTCTGGCCTGGATGGGTGTCATTAATAGCTGTGAAATTATAGCAGTCATTGACCTGGCACTTCCTTTTGCCATCCTCCTGGGATTCACCAACAGCTGCATTAATCCTTTTCTGTATTGTTTTGTTGGAAACCGGTTCCAACAGAAGCTCCGCAGTGTGTTTAGGGTTCCAATTACTTGGCTCCAAGGCAAGAGAAAGAGTGTGTCTTGCCGTAAAAGCAGTTCTCTTAGAGAAATGGAGACCTTTGTGTCTTAAACAGGAGAGTGGAATGCATGTAATCAACATGGCTACTTGGTTTGAGGCCTACCTGAATTATCTTTAAATGGCTTTTGTAAAATAATAGTTTTTCCCTCTAATCTAATCTTTTCTCACTCTTCTAGAACAGGAAACCAAATGTAACTATAAGTTTTATCCTCCACTGACTTTCAGGAATTGCCCATTGTTTTTATGGTATGTTTGTACAAGATTGTCATTGGTGAGGCATATTCATAACCTAGAAGTAACTGGTGATTATCTCAAGTTATAATTAATAGTGAATTGTGAATGATGATTTGGGGTTTTAGATTTTTCCTTGAAAAATGCTGGCATTCTTAGTGGGTTTTCTATCCATTTTCATCATCCTTTCCTCTTGAACTGGGCCAGTCTTTTAACTTGTTGCATTATTTACAAGACAACATTGTAAGAGAGATGAGCACTTCTAAATTGAGAATATTATAATAGATTAGTACCAGATTATTCAGGCTCTAGGCAAATGCTTTCTACCTTAAAAAAATTATAAATTATATCCCTCTTATATTTCACTTTGAGCATAGGTTTATACTTAAGATATAACTACATATTGAGTATGGCTAGGAATATAGATTAAATCACACTCCTATATTTTAGCTTATTTTTACAGTTATAGAAAATAAAATGCATAATAACATAGAATTGCAATTAACAAATATTTGAGTATTCACTAAACTCTGAATAAACACTTTTAAAAAACTTATCCATTTCAACTATTTTTAAAGCTTTATATTTTCTCTGATAATTTTTGAAAACAATAATTAAGCACTATGTATTGTTATAAAATGTAAACGTCACTTTTTACATCCTTGACCTTTTCAATGTGGTGCTTTGATATATGGGACATTGACTTGATTTTTATTATTGATGCTTTGGTTTGGGGTTGCTTCTCAAAATATCTGGGTGGCTTCTTTTAACTCTTTAACTTGTAGTAAACCCTTAACTATTAATAGCACAGGAAAAGGTTATGTTAGAATGGAATTTTGATACCTGAGGTTGGGGGCAAAGACACCCAGCCAATTAAATGTTTGGTGTCAAGCAAGGAATTTGTGAGGGCAGTGCAATGTGGATTTGAAAATATAGACCATAGGGGTAGTTTTAACCTATATCTATGGATACAATTTGTTTCAGGATATGTAGGATTTTGTGGGGGTATTTTAAACCAATTGCTGGTGCATAGATCTTCTTTTCAGTATTATCAGAGCTCCTAAGTTAGAGGACTACCTGAAACTGAGTTACCTAAAGTTTACTTAGAGTATGAATCTTAATTTTAGAAATTCAGGATTTCATTCTGCACCAGCTCCATATTATACCAGCTTACCTAGGACTTTCCTATACCAAAACTAACCTCTAAGGTAGAACTAAAATTTTGGGAGCTCAGCATCTCTGTCAGGTTCCAGGGCTAAATATTGAAAAATCCTCTCACACCACTTTCTGAGAAAGTCCTAATTTTATGTAGTCATATAATTTCAATAAAAACAAATAGCTCAATGTATAACCAACTATGAATTAATGTTTTAAATAATTTTGTAAAACATCTCATATAAATAAAATGTTTAATTGGAAGATCATGTGTCCTTATTTTTTATTTTAACTATCTGTAAGTATGAATTCTTAACTTCTTTTGTATTTTTATCCTCCATTCAATCCTCACTGATACTTCTTAGCTTCAGCCCCATCATTACTTACCTGACCTTTTGCCATACCTTTCTAGTCTCCTTCTCTTGAGTATTCTGCCCAAATTTCTGATTAACTATGAAAGCAAAATCCAGATTTCTTATCATGGTCTCCAAGGCCTTGAGAGAGCTGACCCTTCCCAGCCTCTCTGGCCTTTTTCTTTCTGCCATCCCTCCCTTGCACCCCATGCCCAAGCACCACAAAATAACTTACAGCTTTTTAAAGACCTAATGCTCTTTCATTCCTCTCTGGTTTTGTTCATACACCTTTGTTTCCCTGTACATCCCTCCAATCATCCTCACCCCCAGAGCCTCTCATCCAATTGATGAATACTCACTCAGCTTTCAACATTCAGCTCATGCCACTTCCCATACCACAACAATTATTATTATATTATTGTAATTATAATACCACCACACTGGATGTTCCCTTAATGAACAGAATTGCTTCTCTAGTTTTGGGGATTTTAAGCCTAGCCTCTACTTTCACAGAAGCCCAGTACTGAGCTCTGAGTAGTAGTTTGCCAGCCATTTGTCCTGGGACTAAGAAAAAATGCCAGTTGAAAGGATGGTGCAAGAACGTGTGAACTCTGACAATAGGAATGTAGAATCATATACATGTCCTCTTTCCTCTTTGAAAATGTAAATTTCAGATAAGCTTCTCAGTAAATGAAATTGTATTCTTCTCATTTGATCACTTTTCAAGGATTCCCTAATTTACCCTTTCTTTTTTATGACCCCACCTTTTTTCATCCCACCGAATACAATGCCCAGGAATCACACAATAACAATTACAACAGCAACAATAACACCTACTATTAGGTGAGCATTATGTGCTAGGAACTGAGTGTTTTATGTGCATTATCTCATTTTATTCTCAAAACGACTCAATTATTCTCATTTTACAAATAAGGAAAATGAGGCACAGATGAGTCCTGACTAATATTTAAATTTGGCTCTGACAGATGAACCAGATAGTCCCAATAATGGTATTTAGTACCTTAACTATAGATCCTAGGCTACCAAACAGATAGTTCAGAGACAGTCTTGCATAATACTTCAACCTTCATGCCTAACTGCAGTGCTTGTGCATCCCTAACCTCAGTAATGCAAGAGCTTCTGGGCGGGCAAGTATATTTGCACCTCAGAAGAAGAGAGGAGGTAGATGGACGAGGCTTTCCCCCTTGTTTTGCACTGCTCTTTTCTTGTACTCCATGCTGTATAGAACTACATGAAGTTACCACTACTCCCTACTGCCCCCTCTACCCCATACATGAAGCAAGGCAGATACCCCAAACATTTCTTTTAAGGAACAAATATGTTGATATGAACTTCAGCTTTTTGAAGTGAGATTATATGGGGTTACCAGAGAAATTCATCTCTTGCAACTTGCAGAAGTAATGTGTATTTTTATTATGGAAAAGCAAGTATTAATTGTTCCCACATTTTATAGATCCAAATCAAAGATACTAAATGGGATGTTTTGCAAAAAATCCTTTTTTTTTCCCTAATCTTTCGAGGTCTGAATCAAAATGAGAAGGTAATCTGAAGGTAAGTATATTCAATTTTGACTTTTTTTCTTTTTATCCTCACAGGAATCTGAGGGTGGGAAACTGGTGACCTTACATATCAACAAAAGAGCTGAAATTAAAAAAACAAAAAACAAAAAACATAGCAACAAAAGAAAACTCCAAACTTGATGAGTTAACAGATGAGGTGTTTGAAGCAAGAAAGTGCTGAGTTAATAAGAAAAACACAACACTTATTTTGTTAATTTCTATTTAAATTATAATGGCAGTGATAATTCACACAAAATAACAGAAATTCATAAGTTATCACTAAAATTAATCTCTTTTCCTGTGAAAGATCAGTGGCCTAGAGCTGAGTTGGCTAGCTCACTTACATACACATACCTACAAAGCATCAGCATCTTCAAAAAAATTCTTTCTTTTTGAAATTTATTTTCTAGGTTGAGAGAATTCTTTTTAAAATTAGAAATAATTGATAATGTATTTCTTACTATAGAATCAATTTTTATTTTTGAAAAACATAACTAACTATATGGGTAAAAATTAGCCACAGAGATCACCATTAACCATATGGGGTGACATTTTTATATAGATATACACATAGACACATTGTGTGTGTGTGTGTGTGTGTGTGTGTGTGTGTATATATATAAAATGTGCTTTTTATGTCTATTTGTATCCATATTTCTTTCTCTTTTTATCTATTGCCTATCAGATATGTCCTTCATCACTTTGTGGTGCATTTTTCTTAATATTTAAAATATTTTGACCCTAAGCTCCCATCCAGTATATTAGAATTTTTCTTTCTTCCTTCATTTGGTCCAAAATCCTAAGGGCTTTAAGCAATCCAAGAAATCATACCTGGTTACAATTGTTCAGTGGGGGAAAATACTGAAAAATTTGATGTCTACTGGCTCATACTCTAAAGCTATTGTTACTACATTATTTAGCAGTTGGTCCAGATGGCCCAGTAGTCTGGTACAGACTCCTGTCCACTTAAGTAGTTTTGAAGTGATCTATGCACAAGCTACCTGATAAGTATGTAAGAGAAAGAAAAAGAAAGACTCCTCCTTCCTCCAGTGTTACACTTGCTATATCTGATACATGCCATGGTGGACCTGGGCTCAAACACATCTTTGTTTTGGCACCTTCATGGATCCAGCAGCAATCAGTGGAAATCTAGCAGGAGGAACATGCCATACCAGGAACCAGTCTTCTTCCTTTAGTGAATCTCTTCTATGCAGCTGGAGTCATGGTTCAAACTTCTCATCAATAAATATGGGTATCCCTTATTGGGGTAGGGAGTAGGTAGTGGGGATGATGTTGCTTCTTGATGACATCAGTAGGGACCATCTTCATGTATAAGATATGCTGTAATAACTTCGAAATTCTTAGAAAAATGATCTAGTTCTTGATTCCATTCTTCTCAAAACCCTCATTTTAATTGCCTCTTACCCCCAAAACATAGCAATGTGTACAGAATACAGTTGGTACAGAACCATTTGCCTGAGAAACTGGAAATATCAAACTGTTGTCCAACCCCCAAATTTCCAGTTATAGCCTTCTTTGGGATCAATGGATCCCTACTTACTCTATATTCATACAACAAAATGGGCCACTGGAATGATAATTCCCATTACAAAAAAAACCTATTCCAGTGTTTCTTAATGTTGTAATAGCTTGAAACATTTGAAATGATATTTTCTCTACTTCTCAGAAAAAAAGTAAAAATCTGCTTCACTAGTTATACTGTTGTTATCTATTGATATGGACTGAATTGAGTCTTTCCTCCACCCTCAAAATTCATATGTTGAATCCTTAACTTCCAATGCCATGGTATCTAGAGATAGGGTTTTTAAGGAGGTAATTAAGGTTAAAGGAGGGGATAAGAGTAGAGTCCTAATCAATAGGACTGGTGATTCTATAAGAAAAAGAAGATCTCTCTCTCTCTCTCTCTCTCTCTCTCTCTCTCTCTCTCTCTCTCTCTCTCTCTCTTTTGTTTCTAGACCTATATAAATCTAGACTCAAGTCCCAATAGACCCCTAAAGATGAAGTAAAAGGTGTGACCCCTGAGGAGGTGTACTGAACTCCAAATAATTATTTAAGTTTTCTAATTCATACAAGCAGAATTGGAAAACATGGGGAATGGATATTAGGGTTGTGGAATAATGGTGGATGGTACATCAAGTTGGATCAGGCCAAATTTATTGATATGGGCTCACTAACCAGAAATTCTGCATTGACTGTTGCAACTTGAAAAGTCAGAAAGGGGCTCTGTTTGTTTGATTAGCGGGCTGAAAGGTGGCTCATAGTGAATAAGTTGGAAATATCAGACTTACCTTGATATAATGGATATAAAGGAATTCAAAGGCTTAGGAGGATTCAAATGTTAAAGGGGATTTGTCAGTTAAGACCTACTCCCTCACCATAGAAGGGTCCAGAAGACATGAGAAATAAATTTGTTAGGAGAGACCCAGCATCCTTGAAGAGGTCTGTGCTTGCTCTTCTCTGTAGGCTGGATTTCACAGTAGGGACTGCAGTCATTGAATCGTGAAACCTAAGTGCAATGTGAGTAATTGTGTCCCAGGATGGCTGTGAACAAGTGGTAGCACTTGGCCATCAAAGGCAAGGTGAACATGGTTACCACTGTGGATAGCAGAGTCAAAGCAGGTATCAGAATAATCTGACTTGCACAGACTATGGCATTGGCTAGTTGATCATGATGTTCCTAAAAGTGAAATAGATAGGCAGTCTACTAAATTCTTACTTCATTTGTATAAGCAGAAAAGTTCTAGGTCAAGTGAATAAAAGCCAAACCTGAATCATAAAAACAGTCATGGCGCCTCAATCAATTCCCAGGATTGAGCCAGTTTACAGAGTCAGAACTCCTTGAATGGAGGAGAGGCCAGGTCCCCTTAAGGAAAGATTCCAGTACAGTGACAAAAATGCCTACTGTTAGTCTTTCTTTCAGCCTTCCCTAAGGAAATAATGGATTTTTATCAGGGCAACTGTGCATTGGGGAAAAGAGTATACTCAGACCTTTTGGGGAATCTGGAACTGACATTAATTCCAGGAAACCCAAAATGTTACTGTGGTTTTCCAGTCAGATGAAGGGCTTATGGAAGGTCAGGTGATCAATGAAGCTTTAGCTCAGATCCATCTCACAGTGGGCCCAGTGGGCACCTGAATCCATATTGTGGTTATTTATACACTTCCAGAGTGCATAATTGTAATAGATATACTCAGACGCTGGCAAAATCCTCACCCAAGTAAAGGCCACTAGAACTGGCTCAACCTAGGAAAATAGAAAACCTAAAGCAATATTGCATTCCTGTAGTGATTGCTACCACAAAGGACTTGAAA